TGAGACTGTACTTTTGTTTACAGTAAAGCCCCTCCTCTCTGGGCTCATCGTATTTACACATGTGTCTCCCCAGCATCCCTCTCACATGACCATCTTCACACACACCTCACGTGGGAGCCAAGGGCTCATCACTGTAAAGTCCTCAGTGTTTGCAGGCTGAGGTGCGCCCTTTGGTTTCTGGACAAGGTCTGAAGTTACACCAAATGGTAAGAGCTCTGGGAGGCTGTAAATAAGAGTCCATATGTTCCTTAATAATACACCAGTTAGGAATGATCACTTCGTTAATGACTGACGGAGAGACTTCAATCGGTTAAGTCTGGTCAGAGTCAGACATGCATTTTACAATAGGAAATAAAGTATGTATACAGTGTGTAACCGAAGTGTGTAACCGAAGTGTGTAACCGAGCACCACAGACCCCTCATCTGCCGTCAGCAATTTGCTTCAGAAGTGTTCGCCAGCTAGAAGCTGAGGAGATGGCGGCACAGTGGGTAACTACTCTGCACAGCACAAGGCCCTGAGTTTGGGTTCCTGGCACCCACAGAAGAAGTCGGGCCCAGTAGCTTGTGCCTGTAACTCTAGCCATGGGAAGGCAGTGACAGGAAGTCCCCTGGGACCTGCCGGCCAGCCTAGCTGAGTCGACCAGGCCCGGGTTTACTGAGAGATTCTGTCTCAAAAAATAAGGTGGAGAGAGCAGTCGAGGAGAACCCTTGACACCAACCTGTGGTCTACACACACACACACACACACACATGAAAGAGAGAGAGAGAGAGAGAGAGAGAGAGAGAGAGAGAGAGAGAGAGACTTGACTTACTTCCTGAAGTCAAGTCCAATTCTTTAAACAAACAAGCAACAACAAAAAACCTCTTTAAAAATAAATGTTATAGTTTATATAAATACTTTGTTTACCCATTCTGTGAAGGTTTTATCCTAGAAATCAAATACAAAGCTTCTTACTTATCACAGCTGGGTCAAGTAAACCAAGTCAGGCCCAGTGCCCTTGTGCTGAAGTGATCCCGTTCCGATCTCCTTTGACCGTCCACTCCAACCCTGTCACAAAAGTGTGTGCTGTGGGAGGGTCTGTATGGCAAATGTGTTGCTCTGATTGGTTAATAAATAAAACCTGATTGGCCAGTAGCCAGGCAGGAAGTATAGGCGGGACAAGGAGAGAGGAGAATTCTGGGAAGTGGAAGGCTGAGGCAGAGAGACACTGCCAGCCGCCGCCATGACCAGCAAGATGTAAGGTACCGGTAAGCCATGGGCCACGTGGCAACTTATAGATTAATAGAAATGGGATAATTTAAGATATAAGAACTAGATAACAAGAAGCCTGCCACGGCCATACAGTTTATAACTGATATAAGCGTCTGTGTGTTTACTCTGTTGGGTCTGAGCAGCTGTGGGACTGGTGGGTGACAGAGATTTGTTGTAGCTAGAGTTTTCCTGCTTTGCCCACAGTCAGGACAAATCTCTGTCACCCGCCAGTCCCACAGCTGCTCAGACCCAACCAAGTAAACACAGAGACTTACATTGCTTACAAACTGTATGGCCGTGGCAGGCTTCTTGCTAACTGTTCTTATAGCTTAAATTAATCCATTTCCATAAGTCTATACCTTGTCACGTGGCTCGTGGCTTACCAGTACTTTACATCTTCCTTGTCCTGGCGGCGGCTGCAGGCAGTGACTCCTGCCTTCCTGTTCTTTTATTTCTCCTCTCTGTTAGTCCCGCCTATACTTCCTGCCTAGCCATGGCCAATCAGGTTTTATTTATTGACCAATCAGAGCAACTTGACATACAGACCATCCCCCAGCATAGCCAAGTGCAGATCATCTCAGACACCTGCACTCAGGCCCATGGTCCTAATCATCCTCTATGCGGACCTGCTGGGTAAAGCCACGAGGAACCTAAGAACGGTCTCCCACAGGACATACAGAACATCCCACAGCAATTTGTCCTGACCCTGGGCCAGGCAGGACCAGGAAAACTCTAGCTACAGCGTGTTGTTGGCATCTTTTGAACTGATACCTTAACCTGTATTATGGTATGAATCATCCCATTTTAGTAGCAGTAAAAGCTATTTGAACATTAAATTTACAGAACACACAGCTAACTAAATTCCTCAGTGAAAAAGAAATCAACTGTGAAGGAATTAGAGTTGGCGCAAGAGGCCCCCCTGCAGGTCACAGTCGGAAGCAGGCAGAGGCCCCTCTGCTCCCCGCTGCGGGAGCACTACCTTTCCTAAATTGCTCCTAGGGACAGCCCTCAAGTTTCTGAAAGTAGGTCCATGTTCTAACCAGAATACCAATCACACCACGAACAAAAGAGCTCAGACGTACCCTGGTGCCACGGATGAGCAGAGCAGTTTGTATGTGGTCACAGGTCACAAATCAGGAATAGGAAATGAAGGTAGCAAGCGTACAAAGTGTGAATCAGTGCACGAGGAAAAAAAAGCTAACATCAAATAAAAAGCAGGGTGCAAATTTAGTGCCATTATATACTCCTCAATTTTCCTGTACTCTGGACAAAACTAAGTGATAAAACTATAAATAATAGTGCTGATAAGTAATTTAAAGACCAGTTTTTGGTCGTCTTTTTCTCCCCATTATTTTCTTTTATGTGTATGGATGTTTTGCTTGCATGTATGACTGTGTAACACATGTGTGCAGTGCCCTTGGGGGCCAAAAGAGGGTGTCAGATGCCCTGACTTGAGTTACAAATGGTTGTGAGCATCTATCTATCTTAGTTACATTTTTACTGCAGTAACAAGACATCATGACCTGGGCAACTTACAAAACATTTCATCTGGGGTTCATGGTTCCAGAGGGTAGAGATAATGGCAGCAGACAGGCATGACATGGGAGCAGTAGCTGAGAGCTTATAGCTGATCCACTAGCACGAAGCAGACAGAACCAACGGAGGTCAGAAGAAGGCATTAGATCCCCTGGAACTGCATTGTACAGGCAGTTTTGAGCCACCATATGAGTGCTGGGAATTGAACTCGGGTCCTCTGCAAGAGCAGGAAGAACCCTTAACCACTGAGCCATCTTTCCAGACTAGTTCCCCCTGACTTTTGAACTCTATATAAGTCATATAATGTGTATGCTTGTGTCTCATGTAAAATTTTGTTTGTGAGATTTACCCTCATAGTTATATAATGTTAGAGTTTATTCATTTTAAATACTAAGTAAAATTTCAGTATATAAATGTATTTCACAGTTTATTCCATTTGGAGATATTCTGAGTAGTTATGATCAGCTTTCTATTCGTGTATCTTGATGTAAATATACACTAATGTCTCATGATATCTGTACTGGATGGTTTTATGACAACTTGACACAAGCATTTCCTCAATTAGTGATACCAGTGTGGGTGGGGCCACCCCTGGGCTGGTGGTCCTGGGTTCTATAAGAAAGCAGGCTGAGCAAGTCATGAGGAACATGTAAGCCAGTAAGTAGCACTCCTCCATGGCCTCTGCATCAGCGCCTGCCCCATACTGGGTTCCTGTCCTGGCTTCTTCCAGTAATGAACAGTGAGTGATTTGGAAGAGTAAGCCAAATAAACCCTGTCCTCCTCAAGCTGCTTTTGACCGTGGTGTTTCCTCACAGGTACAGTAGCCCTAACTAGGGTTGGTTTTGTCTGCAGTCCCTGGAGGTTGTACATGTTCTTCAGCACTGTTGACTTTGCCATGAGTGCTGTCTTAGGGTTTCTGTTGCTGTGATAGAACACCATGGCCAAAAGAATCCTGGGGAGGAAAGGGTTTATTTCATCTCACACTTGCAGGAACAGACCATCACTAAGGGAATTTGGGGCAATAACTCAACAAGGCAAGAACCTGGAGGCAGGAGCTGATGCAGAGGCCGTGGAGGGGTGTCTTTTACTGGCTTGCTCCTCATGGCTTGCTCGACCTGCTTTCTTATAGAACCCAAGAACACCAGCCTAGGGATGGCAACACTCCCCCATCAATCACTCGTTAAGAAAATGCCCTAGAGCAGGATTTTATACAGGCATTTTCTCACTTGAGGCTCCCTCCTCTCAGATGACTATAGCTTGTGTCAAGGTGACAGAAATCTTTCCAGCACCGGTGCCTTACTCAAGAGTTGTAGATGCAGGCATTCCCAGCATTCCCAGCTCCCTTCTGTAATCAGACATTTCCTGTCCCAACAGCCCAGTCCCAAATAAACACACAAAGGCTTGTATGAATTATAAATGCTTGACCAATAGCTCAGGCTTATTACTAACTAGCTCTTACATTTTAAGTTAACCCATATTCCTTATTTACGTTCTGCCATGTGGCGGTACCTTTATTAGCGTGGCATGTTCATCTCCTGCTCCCTCTGCTCTGGCAGGTGACCCCTTACTCTGCCCTTCTCCTTCCCATCATCCTGAGTTTGGTCGCCCTGCCTATACTTCCTGCCTGGCTACTGGCTAATCAGTGTTTTATTAAACCAATTTGAGTGACAAATCTTTCCAGTGTACAAGAGGATTGTTCCACAGCACTCTTCCTCCTCGGCATTCCTGTTGGACCGTCACTGGACTTGTTTTATTCTGAGCAGTTCTTTCCTAGTTGTGTTTGGTGCATCCACATGCTGGTGTATTTTATTAGATTGTGAACGTTCTTCAGTACTTTGTTTGTATACCTCAGCACCTGGCACGGTCCCTGAAATACAGTCAGCTAGTTGAGTGGGTGGTGCCAGCCATCACTCTTGACGGTGTTTAACAAACAAGCCCTCTTCATTATGGGTATCATCTAATGGAGGCCAGTCAAGCCTTCGCTCTGACACACCAGTGTCAAAAGTCAGTGTTGGGAGGTGACTCTCTCTGAAGGGAGTCCATCGCCTCATGCTCCGTGGCAGGGGCATTGCTGTGGGTTCTCGGGCCTCTTGCAGGTTTAAAGCGTTAACAGCAGTGGTTCCAGGGCAGAGCTGGGGACCGGATATAAATAGCAGGACACAAGTGGGGTAATGTGCCACTGCCAAGCCACCGCTAGGGGTGTTATAAAAAGAAAAGCATTCCCAGGCAGCTCTCACTGTCAACAACATCCCATCCTGGAGGGACTATCACCACAGCTGAGAGGGGGAATCAGCGTGAGCCGGGGCATCATTTAAACCTCCTGCAAAGGCACAAACGCCAGGTAAACCTTTTGATTTCTTTGCACCCAGACTGCTGAAATGAAGACCAGGAAAACCCTGGCCCACAGCTGACTGGGCACAGGCTGCCTGGGTTCTTTCTATTCCTTTTAAGTTTTTTGAGAGGGAAGTTTGACACAGAGTAGCATTTTAAAGTACCTACAGATATATTGATAGAGCTCGACCAAAGAACTGCTTTTGAAGAAAGACAGGAAGCCAGGCCAAAATGAGTTGCAAAAAGAAAGGCCATTCATTTCCTCTTTCAAAATCCAGACTAAGATGACTGGCAAAAGAGAGGGAAGCAGGGATTTCATCTGAGTTACAGGAATGGCAGCTCTGGCGAAGCGTATGCATGTGAGAGACGGGAGGCCAACAGCCTGCGTCACTTCATTGAGTTGGCTAATGGCTCTGGATAGCTTCGGCCGGCCGTGAGGATTCTTTCCCTCCTGTCTACCCCTTACGTTGCCACACGCACCGGAATGGGCTCTAGTTAGAATCGCTGTCTTCCCGGGGCTGCTTAGTCGACCCCCAACTCCAGAACGTTACGCACTTGCTCAACCTCTGGCTTCGGTCGGTTGTGAGGAGTTGGAGGAAGGAGGTCACCTCAGGTAGCCCACCCTGTCCTGCTGCTGACCTCGCCTCTTCCCTCCCATCCTAACGGGCATGCTCTAACTCGCAAAGCAGCTGGAAGAATGGAAGCTGTCCATGGGGAATTTTCTAGACAGCTCTTAGAAGCTGGGGGCTCGGGGAGCAGTTTGAGAGCGTGGTGGTTTTCGTGTGCGTTTCCTGTGTGGCCTCAGGGGAGATTTAGAGATGGGAAACTTGTGTCTCGGGGCGGCTGTGGTGGGAGAGACGAGTCTACGGTTGTGTGGAGGTGGACGGATTTGATCCTGGAAGCAATGAAGTTCCTTAAGGTTTTGTTAGACCTCTAGATAAAATCGAATGGCTCTTGCAGCCATAGGAATGTATTCCATAATCTCTTCTACCATCACAGCGTCTGCCCAGAATGAAACTATATATAGCACGTTATCTTGCTCTCCTTTTTTCCTAAACCTCTTTGTTAATCCTACTGAAATGAAATTTGTCATTCTAATTTAGAAGAGAAAACTGAAGATGGGACATTTCAAGATGGTCACCGCGCTGCTGGCTGCTGTGACCCTAGTGGACCTCTTCCAGGTAATGTTGGGAATGGGAAGCATGTGCTCACTGGGATGGGAGCCTGTAACATTGCCTGGGGTGTCTCTGTGGACTGAGAGAGGCCAGACTAGGCAGTAGCTTGTAAGTAGCTTCTCCTTCATTTTGCAGGTGATGCATATGTTAAGTGTAGAAAGTTATATATAATTATAATTAAATGAAGAGAACAGAGAAATTCAGCCTCTGAGAGAGAGTCTTAGGGGACAGTGTAGATAGCTTATGTGGCTCCTCTTTCTCTCTGTGTGTATAATTTATTTAAAAAGTAGATGAATGCTGTATGTAGAGTACTTTTAACCTTGTCTTCAAACAATACTGCACAGCATTTCCAAGTCAATAAATATTCAGGGAATATCGTGTGTTCTCCAAATACTGCCGCAGTGTTTGATTCCATGTTTGTTATTAAACTACATAATGACTGTTTCCTTGTCTTTTTACGGATAGAAACTTTATGATTTTGTTTGCCATTCAGTATTTAAAAACTAATATACTTTGTGTATATATTGTATGAAACAGGTATCTCACTTTCCTTCTTTAAGATACCTTAAATTTTAAAAACTATCCATTTTTAGAGCTTTGACCCACTTTCTAGAGCATTATCGTATGTTTTGTTTCCTGCGCATTCTGTTGTTGACTTTTTAACTTGAGACATTATGGTGTTTGAGAGAAAATGGCCCCCAAAGGGAGTGGCACTATTAGGAGGTGTGGCCCTTGTTGGAGTAGGTGTGGCCCTGTTGGAGGAAGTGTGTCACTGTGGAGGCGGGCTTAGAAGTCTCATATGCTCAAGCCACACCCACCGAGACAATCTACTTCCTGTTGCCTGCATATTGGCATGTAGCAGCTCCTTTTCCAGCACCATGTCTGTGTCTGCCTGCTGCCATACTCCCCGCCATGGTGATAATGGACTACACCTCTGAAACAGCCACCACCTCAATTAAATGTTTTTCCATCATAAGAGTTGCCATAGTCATGGTGTCTCTTCACAGCAACAGAAACCCTAACAAAGACAGAAGTTGGTACCAGAGACTGTTGTTGTGATAGGTCTGACCATGCTTTTGTTTGAAGGAATATGGACTTTGTGAGTATGGATTAGGAAAGCAGTTGATCACTTTAAGTGCTGCTTAATGGGCCATCCTAGTAGGAACATGGAAGGCAGTGGCATTGAGTGTGATTTGAACTGTGAGGGGCTGGATCAAGAGGTTTCAGAGGGGAAGAATTTTTAGTATGTTGCCTAGAAATCATTCTTATGGTATTTTGGTGAAGAAAGTGGCTGCGTTTTGCCTTTGTCTGAAGAGTCTGCCTGAGGCTAAAGTGAAGAGTTTTGGATTAATTCTGTTGGCAGAGGAAATCTCAAAACAAAGGCTCTGTTGTGTGGTTACTAGTGTTAACTCTAATGAAGATATATAATAAAAAGGATCAAGCTGAACAAGGAAAAATATTTGAGGAGAAAGGGAGTACCAGAAAATGGAATGGAGCTAAGCTCTGTATTCAAGGAGATAAACAGATTAAGAAATGGAATAAAGGGAGTGGTGATCTCAGAGCAAGATCCCACCCAGTTGAGTTTCCAATTTGTGAAAAGGAATTAAAGAAAAGCTTAGAGCTGGGTGTGGTGGTACATGCCTTTAATCCCAGCACTGGGAAGGCAGAGGCTGGTGGATCTCTGAGTTTGAGGCCAGCCTGGTCTACAGATCCAGTTTTGGGACAGCCAAGCTTAGGCAGTGAAGGCCAGAAAGCTGATGAAGATGTAATTGAACAAAAGCGGTGGTCATGTTCCAGCCCCAGCAAGCGGCAGAACTTGGCAGCTTCAGCCATCTGTTTCTAGCTTTAGAGTCAAGGATAGAAGAAAGGCATTGTGAAACCTTCCTCCCTGGCAAAGGAAAGCCAATGAGGCCAGACATGTGTCAGGGGTGTCCATGAATGGAGGCCTAGAGAGGCCATTGCATGAAGCTGTAAAGTTGAAACCTAGATTGCCTTGGAGAACCCAAGATGTTGGAGATGCCAGAGCTGTGGAATACCTGCCAAGGAGAGCTGCTACTAGTGAGTGGTAACAGCCCAATAGGAAGAAGTGTGTTGCAAGTCAACAAAGCTGAAAGGAGCTGGAGATCTGAAGATTGTTTTGACATCAGACATGGAGATGCAAAGTTTGCCCAGCTGGTTTTCAGTCTTGCTTTGGTCCAATATTTCCTCACTGTGCTCCCTCCCCTGCATTTTGGAATGGAAATGACTATCTTGTGCCATTGTATGTTGGAAGTATGTGATCTGTTTTTTGATTTTGATTTTATAGTGGATTACAGTTAAGAGATTGCATGAATCTCAGAAGAGACTTTGAACTTTAGACTTTTAAATAAGTTTGAAACTGTTGTAGACTATGGGGACTTTTGAAGTTGGACTGAATGCATTTTTGCATTTTGAATTGGCCACAAGCCTTTGGGGGATCAGGGAGTAGAATGTGGTGGTTTGAAAGAAAATGGCCCCCAAAGGGAGTGGCACTAATGGGAGGTGTGGCCTTGTTGGAGTAGGTGTGGTCTTGTTAGAGGAAGTGTGGAGGTGGGCTTTGAGGTCTCATATATGCTCAAGCCATGACCAATGAGACAGTCTACTTCTTGTTGCCTGCATATCAACATGTAGCAGCTCCTTCTCCAGCACCAGATCTGCCTGCATGCTGCCATGCCCCCCTCCTGCCATGATGATAATGGACTAAACCTCTGAAACTGCAAGCTGCCACCTCAATTATATGTTTCCCTTTATTTACCATAGTCATGGCGTCTCTTCATAGCAATAGAAACCCTAACAAGACAGACGTATAATTGAGATACCCTTAAAAGCATTTTCAACCACACTCGTCATTGGTTTCTAGTGTCTCTACGATGTTGTCCCACAGCAGCTGTGGGGTGGCATTTCATCCCTCTCTAAAGAAGCACTTTGCTTATTGGAAGTCAATGCCACTGCCCGCCTCCCCCATTCTCTGGCAACCAATGAGAGTTATGGACATTTCAGCAGAGTGGGATCTTGCAGACTCTGATCATTTGTGCTTGGTTTCTTTTGTTTAGGATACTGTTTTTAAAGCCCATTCATGGTGTGTCAGATATTAGTGTCTCCTTCTTGACATCTATGAACACTAATGCCACCATGGCTGGCCAAAGTTTATTCAGGCATTTGGCTCTTGCCACTTTATGGTAACTATGGATAGTATTGCCAAGAACAGCTGTGTATGGGTTTCTGTATGAATGTTTTCAATTCTTTTATATAATTATTCTTCTCTGGGCACTCATCTAAGCACTGCTGCTAGCCTTATGCAGTATTTACTTGAGTACCTGGTTTTACCTATGTAAGTGAACGTGAATTAGCCAGGACTGTGCTACAGTGTATGGCGGAATTGTGCATTATTGTGAACATATGCTTCACGTGGTGTGTGTCTAGAGTGAGGTCACTGGGTCATGCTACAGCTTCATGTTTCACCCCTTGAAGTGCTGCTGCAGTACCTTCCATGTTGGCTGGGCTCCACAACACTCCTTCCAGCATGGGTCAGGGCTCCAGTCGGCTGCCTCCTCTTTGCTTGGATTTTCCTGTTTTGCCCTTGTTTTGGGTTATCATTATTTTCTTTTAGTGGGTATGAAGTGGTGCCTTGTGTGGTCTTAATGTGCCTTTCAAGTACTGGTTTGCAGCACATCATTTTAACATACTTCGGCTAATGTTGTTCCATTTCATTGGTTTCTCTTCTGAAACACGAAGGTCATTTCCACATATGTGAAATGAATTGTTGGTAGCTGAATGGCATCGCTCTGAGCTTTGGTTCAGGTGGAGACGCCAGAGGAAGAAAGCATTATCAGCTCATTCACCCAGTCTTCCCTGCTCCTTAGTGTCCATTCCTCTGTCCTGAATGGCGAGGGCATTTAGGGGCTTTGCCACCGCAGGGCACGCACTGTACGGAACACACAATCAGCTGTGGTGTCTGGCCAGGAAGCCTTGCTGTCTAAAATTAGACATGTGAAGACTGCTCTGAGGCCGAGGGAAAGACGGGAGCCCACTGGATCAACTCTGGTATGGTGTGTGGAATGTGGGAGTCGGTTTCAGGTCTGATGGCTTCTGTTGCAGTCTTCAAGATAAATCATGCTTTGGTGCTCAGGCTGAATTCTGGTACATTCTGTGCCACAGAGCAAAGTGCATCCCTTAGCCATGAAACCGAAGGGACTTGATCTCTGCAGCTCAAATCCCCATGGCAAGAAACTGACCGACAGCCCCCAGGGTGCTGGGGGCTCGGTGACTCCCAGCTCTAAGTACTATGGTTAGGCAATGGTTTCTGGTGCTGACCCACTTACTTACCTCAGTGGTAAAACGTTTCCTTTTGTTTAGCAAAATTAAACTCTTTTAAAAGTGTTACAGAATAAATGTCAGTGGGCCTAATGTTTCAGAAGCAACAGAACACTTTGCTTAAGAAGGTAGAACTCTGGACCCAGAGTGTCTGGGGTAAATACCATAACCATGTCTCAATATCTTAGTGTCCTTGTCTTTAAAGAAGAAGGGGGGAGGGAGGCTTGGAGCTGGAGAGAGGACTTGATGGCTGTGAGCACCTGCTGTACTTGCGGAGACTCGGGGACCAGCTGCCAGCACCCACAGAGCTCACCTGTAACTCTAGTGACACTGTCTTCTGATTTCCTTGGTTTTGGGGGGTTTTCTGGGGTTTTTTGTTTGATTGTTTTTTTTTGTTTTGTTGTTGTTGTTTTGTTTTGGAGAGGGGTGTTCTGATTTCTGGGCCTTAAGCACCTGCTTTTACTTGGCTGGAGGTGCCAAACCAGCCCTCCCCATGTCCTAGGAATGAGGGAGTGTGTCCAGAGGGAAAGGTAATATCTGTCACCACGTATTTCCCACCACGCGCAGTATTTTATACATGATACTTCCAATGATCCAAAACAGTCCTGAGAGTTCTCAGGACTGAAGGGAAGGACCGTTCAGCCTGGACTGCCACTGGGGTCTTTAGTCTCTTGTGCACGCACCACAGAGCTCAGGCAAACGAGTTACAGGCAGAATTCCTACCGGTATCTTGCCACTGACATTTACTTTTTCATATGAACACGTCATGGCCGAGAAAAGCTGCCCATAGCGATGGGGTGTAACTCGCAGTTCAAGGGTTGTGGGGGTGGGATGAGAGAGTGGGCATCGTCTGTAAGAGAAAATGAGATCAAATAAAAAGTTGATGGCAAGAGCACCCCTTTCCTTTTGCTTTGAAGGTGAAGGCGGAAGTGTTAGACATGGCGGAGAATTCGTTTGACGATGAATACCAGAAGTGCAGCAACAGGATGGAGGGGAAGTACGTCCCACAGCTGTTCAGGGAAGAAAAGGCCAGCTCTGACCTCCTGGAGACTGTGTGGGACAATGCAGAGATCCTGTGGGAAGCCCGGAAGGCTAAGATCTCTCCCCCAATGAACTTCAAGGATCCCTATGGAATAACCCTGTTGGCGTTTGTGACCGAGGCCCGGGAGCAGACTCCCTTTTACCACGATTTCACCAGAGCTGTGAAGATGGCCGGCCAGTCCCGAAAAGATTACATCTACAACTTTCCGTTCAAAGCTTTTCATTTTTACCTGGTGAGAGCCCTGCAGCTGCTGAGAAGACCTTGTGAAGACAGTTATAAGGACGTGGTGTACCTCACAAGTCAGGACATTTCCTTCACCTTCGGAGGGCCAAACCAAGCCAGGCTGGGCAACTTCACGCTGGCATATCCAGCCAAACCCCCGACAGCGAACCAACAGCCAGTGCTAACCATCCACACCTGCTTTGGGGTTTCCGTGGAAAGGTTTTTGGATAAAGCAAATGAGAGAGTTGTTTTAATACCTCTGAGTGAGGTTTTTCACGTGTCCCGGGCAGGAACTGGCAATGACCTTATTCTTGAGAGCATAAACAAGACCTGCAGCTACTACGAGTGTGCCTTCCTCGGAGGTGAGTGTCTCAGTCATGGTCTGGGTTTGTCTGAGAGGAGAGGGGGGGTGCAGGCCCTGAGGGGTGTCTGGGAGGAGAGGAGAGGGGTGCAGGCCCTGAGGGGTGTCTGGGAGGAGAGGAGGGGGGTGCAGGCCCAGGAGAGCGATGTGTGTTTGCAAAGAGAGAGAACACCAGCAGTTTTGAGTCTCAGGCCGTTTCTTTACCCACAACTCAGGTGTTGTCAAGCACAATACCTAGTTACTAAAGCTGAGAACAAAACCAGTACTGGGAAATAGAAGCCAGGGTTTCTGCAGGGTTTGGCGATGGTCAGAAATCCTTTTGGTTGTCACAACTCAGGAAGAGGTGGGGTTGCTATTGGCCAGGATTGGCTAAACACTTTTTAGGACCCTGTCAAAACAAAGAATTATCTGGTCTAAAATGTCAGGAGTACTGGTGTTGAGAAATCCCATTACAAGTCATTCAGTAAAAAGAGTCCCATCCCATTTCCAAGCCTCACTGTCATCCATCCTAAATCATTTTAGCTGTTTTTTTTTTTTTTGTTGTTTTTTGTTTTTGTTTTTGTTTTTTTCGGGTATACACTATCATGTTTGTAAGTGAATAGCATGCTTTTATTGTTTCAGGATTTAAATTTTTTTAGACATGGTCTAAATATTTCCGGTATTCAGTTTTCTTGTGCCGTGTATCATTTAAGATTTCTTTGTTGTTGCTGGGCCAGTGATGCAGGCTTGTAACCCCAGCCACTCAGGAAGGAGGCTAAGGCAGAAGGGTCCGAGTTCAAGGTCTACCTGGAGTACAGAGTGAATTCAAGGCCAGCCTGGGCTACTTAGTGAGACCCTGTCTCAGACAACAGTAGGTCAGTGACAGAGTGCCGGCCTTGCATGCACAAGACCCTGGGTTGGATCCATAAGGAGTCTAAAGATTCATCTTTCTGTCAGCTTTAGCAGAAAACCTAATAGTTCTCACTGCTACAACCAGGCTGTTGGGTACCACGGCTCCTCTATGGCATTAGTAACTCAGGCTGCCTTTCTGTCCCACTGGTTTGGGAATTCAGATTTGCCTTGTGGTCTGCATCCAGGCATCAGTTTGCATCCCAGACAGAAACAGAAGGGGGACCGACCGCCGGATCTACCTGTTTCTCAGGAAAGTGAAAGCTAGCCTAACCTCTTAGTAGAACTGTTTCTTGGTCACTTACAGCTGCAGGAAAGGCCTAGAAAGGAGGAAATCAGTTTTGCAGGCTCTGTCACGCAGGAAGAAAGGGAATCAAAGTGGCCTTGGGATGCTGCTGCACATTTGTGATTCCAGCATGCAGGAAAAGGATGAGGATCTTGAGTTTGGATCTAGCCTGGGATACTTAAAGAGATCATGTCTCAAAAAAAAAAAAAAGAAGAAGAAGACAGAGTTGTTAGGCCAGTAGCCACAGTGTCCGATGACTACTGTCTCCTTCCTAATAGGCCGGTGACTCACCTTCCCTCACGTGTGCTCGTGGTCCAGTTGATTGGTGTTTCTGTTGTTGGTTTTGGTTTTTTACCCATGAAGTACTTCCTTTGCTGGGGTGATTTTATGACTTCCTTTTTTTTTTTTTTTTTTTTTTTTTTTTGGTTTTTCGAGACAGGGTTTCTCTGTGTAGCTTTGCGCCTTTCCTGGAGCTCACTTGGTAGCCCAGGCTGGCCTCGAACTCACAGAGATCCGCCTGGCTCTGCCTCCCGAGTGCTGGGATTAAAGGCGTGCGCCACCAACGCCCGGCATGACTTCCTTTTTAAATGTCGTATTAATAATTCACCCCAGGTCCTTTGACAGAAATAGCAACCTCTCCGTACATTCGTCTTCCCACCCCTGGATATACCCTCCCGGATTCGGATTCTGCTCTGGGCTGTGCTCCTGGGCTCACTGAAGGTTGCGCACTGTCTCCACACCACCAGCCCGAGGCTGAGATTCTCCCCACAGCCCTGTTCTGGATTTGCGCCTCTTCCCCGAGTTACTCCTTTGTTTGGGGTGAGGCTAAGTGCTGACCACAGTTTTCTGAGGAATGGTATCTTGAGGCAAATTTTCTAGGACCGCATGTGTGAAAGATCTGCCTTTAAGATCAAGTTATAGGTTTTCCAGTTTACCACGTCCTTGCATGGTTCTTGGAACTTGCACCTGACTGGGAGGTGGTGAGGGAAATGAGACAAGACAGGTAGCCAGGCAGACAGACGACAGACAGACAGACACAGATAAATAGCTAGAGTGGAGTGGTCTGGCTCTCAATGGAGAAGCCTCAGCACCCCAGAAACTCTGCATGTTTAGTATAGATTGAACAGAGGGATGGGGATACTGCATGCAGCTGAACCAGGAAGCAGGGTTATTAAATGCTGATAAACAAGGAGCCGGGGTGTATGGTGTACAGCTGGATCAAGAGGGCCGGCATAGCTTAGCTGGGCTGGAGCGGTCTCTGTGGGAAGTAAACATCTGAGGGGAGGAAGCTCTGGCGGGCATTTCCTGCCCACACTGTTAACGTTCACACTGGGTCCCCGGGGAAGGCTTTGCCGTCCCTTCCGGTTGAGGCTGTGGGGTCCCTGTCATGGCTCTGATGATTCAAACTTTGGATGAATCCCGGTGTGGGTTTTGCGATGTTTGGGTTTTTGCTGTTATTGTTCTTGTTTCATTTGGGTTTTCTGCTGCTGGGGGTGAAACCTAGAGACCAGAACATGCTGGGCAAGTCCTTTAGCACTCAGCGACATGTATCCCAGCCTGCGAGCTGATCGCTTCATTTTGCAAGTCTTGGGACGTAGTCTTTGTTTGCAGCGTTCTGAAATGCTAAGGGTTTGTGCCTTGCTCTGTGTGAATACAGGGTTAATAAAAACCCGTTCTCCCTCCTCCTATGAAAACCACTGCAGCGTTTCTTTGTTAATGGGCTAAGGGCAGGGCCGGCGCCCTAGATGGTGAAGTACATGCACAGCACAGGAGGGTTAGGACGGGACCTGAGTTCCTGGGGCAGAACGCCATGGTTTCCAACTTCCTCAAGGTGGTGCGGCATGTCCAAGTTCTCTCCGTGTGGGGGCTGGAGGCAGCAAGGGACTCTGGCTCTGATCTGCCCGACAGTGGTCGATCCGCTCAGGAGTTACTGCGTCTCCTGTTGTGGTCTCCTAATTAAGGAGAGTGGGGCTAGAGGCCACTTAGAGGACTTCCCTTGAGAGGACATTGACTGCTCCTGTCGTGTGCACAGTCTTGCATTCTCCTGCAAAACACGGTTAGTGAGGACCCGGCCTTTGGGTCTGCGTGATGGCTGACTGGACCCAAACCCGCTGCTGGGTCCAGCGGTGACGACTACAGTTGGCCTCAGACCTAGGGGAAACTTCCGACCTTGACTCAGCATGCCCAGTGTACAGCGGTCAATGGGTGGGTCGGACGGTCTGGGTGCTGGCACGATTGCTGGCTGAAGCCAGGCAGTCCTCGCCGTGCCAAGGGTGCAGGCTTTCAGGAAGTGTTCGCAGGGCCTTCCGATTTGACCTCCTGCATTTCCTTGATGTTGAGGGTGAATGACCCCTTAATCACTCGAGGCACCTGTCTGCCACACTCCTGACCGGCACTGGAGTCACATCTGATTCTGAGCGATCTTCTTGAGGTGATGTCAACACAAATGAACAGGTTGCAGGTTATGTTAAAAAAGCACTCATTCCCGTCACCCACCCCCCCATCTATTGGCCATGACCCCAGGACAGGCCGAGCCAGCTTAGACCAGAGTTGCATCTTTTTCCTGTTCCTCCTGCATCACACTGGCTTAAAATTGGCCACGGTTGAGTTGTTATTTCTCCCTTATGCATGGGGGTGACGTGTTCCAAGACTCCCAGTGGTTGTCTGAAACCACGGATAATATCAAACCCTGCATGTACTGGGCATCTTTCTATACGTGCATACTTATGAGAAAGTCTTAGTTTATAAATGAGGTACAGTAAGAGTTTAATAATAATAGACCAATTCCAAGTGTGCACTGAGAGTTCTGCAAATGCCGTCCCTCTTGAGGAATATTTGCAGACATCCGTTGACCACTGGTGACTGAGACCATAGACGGTTAAACTGTGGAGAAGGAGGGAACGTGGAGATAAGCAAACCATAAACCACGGTCTCCCTGCCTCCCCCCACCGAGTGTGTTTAACTTCTCAAGAACATCACAGTGAGAAACCCAGGCTCAGCTGGACTGTAGAAATCATACCTATTTTGGTGCCCCTGATGCATTCAGGCAAATGCCATTTAAGGAGGCCCTGGTTGTATAAAAGGTCTGGATACCGACCATATTTAGCACTAGTACCTAGCTGATGGGGTGCGGAGGGCAGTGAAACCCACGGATTCCATGTTTGTGAGTTGAGCTGTGATACGACAAAACAGACAAGGAAAAGTGAGCAGCTAGTGGACTGAGTGAGCCAGGGAGGGGCTGGAACCTCTCATGGCGCATTAGGAGCCTGTCTGTACAGGAGGAGCGTGAGGCTGAGGGCAGGCCATTTCGCAGGTTGATGTTCACCCCAGCGAAAGGAGGCATTTGTGGGGGCTCACACGGACCATCAGAGCTCTGATCAAGTCAGCTCCTGCTTTTGAGAGCGAGGCTGGAGTGCAGGGTTTGACCACACACTGGAGTTCTCTGCTGCCACCTAGAGATAACCAATGGGAATGCACGGTCAAAAACTTCCTAAGGCCGCCTTTAGGTGTGGCTGGGTGGTGGTCGCACACTTGCCAGCAAGCCAGAGGCCCCTGGGTACCAACATCCTCCAACACCGGGGGTGGGGGGCGGCGGTGTGCAAACAACCAAACAACTGTAGTAGTTCTGGATGGGAAAGGGCAATGTTTCTAGAAGGTGTTTAAATTTACTAAACTCAGAGTGCCAGCGCAGACCCTGGTTACTGTTGAGAACTTCCCTGTGATTTCTAACAAAAATAGAGTGTGGATCTTACAAAAACTGGCTAGCCAAACAAACAAACAAACAAACCAAAAACCCAGTTCCAATTGTTAGGAAACAGAGAGACCTGGTTAGCCTTGCTGTCAATCCAAGGAAGGAACAAACTCCTCCTTCCTGAAGAGAGCCTACAGCAGGTCAACCAGCTTAGGTTTTTTTTGTTTTTTTTTGTTTTTTTTTTTTTGGAATTTTTGATAACGATGGGATGTCAGCTGTGTAGTCAGACTAAACTCCTTATCATCCAAAATGACATCATCGGATAGCTGTAACTGGATTTGGAGGGCTGTGGGTCAGTTATGGAGTTCTGAGAGAAAGCCCCAGCCGCAGGGTTCCTCGTGGCCCTGCAGGGCAAACGCAACAGGTCTACAGAGGATTTACAAGCCGAGAAACAGCACACGCCATGTAGATGTAACCAATCGTATTATTAAAATAAGAAACACAGAGCCAAGGTAAAAGAGAAAAGCCGAGAGGTCAGAGCTCAGAGATAAAATCTTACCTCCTGCAGTGCTCCTAGCTTCCCCGAGAGAGGGAGGTACTTCCTGTGTCCCTGTTTAAATAATCTTTCTCTTCTGCCTTCTCATTGGTTGTAAACCCAACCACATGACTGCCTCATCACTGCCTGTAAGTACCGCCCTCCAGGTCTTAAAGGCGTATGTCTCCAATACTGGCTGTATCCCTGAACACACAGAAATCTACCTAGCTCTTCTAACCACCACGCTCTCACTATGGCTCTAATAGCTCTGACCCCAGGGCAACTTTATTTATTAACATAAAATTAAAATAACATTTCAGTACAAATAAAATATCACCACAACGCCATCCCCCCAACCTAATCGCCTTAACCAGTCCTCAGGGCATAGATGGCCTGGGTTTCAGCCATGTTTCTGTTGGCGGGGGTAGGATGGGGCGGCAGTCTATATAATGCTCTGCATACTTGTAGAGTCGGGGGATCGGGACATAACAAGTGTCCCTAGTTGAAATGGGCCTTGTTAGGCAAGAGAAGCTCCTGGACCCTGGTAGCTGCCATTTTTGAACTCACTGAGGCGTGCTGAGCCAGATCCCTGCTACGCCATCAAAAGACCAAGAGGAGTTTATTGGACTGTTCACACTTATTTCTTACTCATCCACCCTGAGGCTGGGAATATAGGCAGAGGGTTCACCTGGCATGGCTAAGGCTCCGTGTTCCTTCTGCGCTGAGAAAACACACACAGTTCCGCCCAGACCAGAGTGGTTATTAAATGCACGTGTTTCACTGTTTCTAACTGATTCCTGTTAGCATTTCCTGGGAGTCTGGAAGTTTCTGTTTGAAATGATCTGGGATTGGGCAGCCGTTCATGTAGTGAGGACAGGTGGGAAGTGACCCATGACTCACCATTGTGAGTTGACCTGTGCACCAGGTCCTCACCCACCAGGTTTCCATTCACTGCTGTCTCCATCAAGGTGAAGCATCAGGGCTGAGAGCCGGAAGGAAATGCACATTTGAATGATTCCTGCAAAGAGTCAGTTGCCCTGTTAGGGGTCTGGCCAGGCAGGTCTGGAGTCCACAGCTTGGGCTGTGAAGCGCTGTAGCGGGAGTTTAGAACATGACCTTGAGATGCCCTTCACAGGCAGAATTCCCTTCAGGAAGCCCCAGCTCCCCTCTTAGCCTTTCTGCTGATTAAAGGCTGCCCAGAATGTTCTGGATAATTTCCATTACTTATAGTTAACTGCATATAGACTTAGATCTTGTATATAAAATGTAACTTCATAGCAGTAGTTAATTCGGTGTTTCAGTGAATAGCTGAGGACTGGCTGGGTCCAACCATAAAATTATTTTTGTTGCTATTTCATAACTGTAATTTTGCTACTGTTATGAATCACAATGTAAATATCTGTGTTTTCTGATGATCTTAGGTGATCCCCAAAGGGCTCACAACCCACAGGGTGAGAACCACAGTTTACCTTGAGTTGCTGGGGGTTGGCTGTCCAGGTGCAGCTTGCCTGGGTCCTTTGAGTAAGCTTCTCTTAGCTCTTCAGTCAGGTTTGACTGGAAGAGATCTGTCTCTCGGTTCATTCACATGGCTATGGGTAGGACATGGTCTTTCCTGAGTTATTCAACGAAGGTACGGTTCTAGTCAGCAGCTGGCTGCAGGCCTCCCTTGGTTCCTAGCCACACGGGCCTCTCAGGCTCACAACCCAGCGATCAGTTTGTAGAGAGCAGTGTCGGTGTCTTCATGGTTGAAGCGATGTCTCTTGTTTTCTAGAAGCAAGCACCCCCTATTCAGCACACCCTCCAAGGGAGTCACACAAGAATGTGAACAGGGAGGAGCTTCAGGAGCTAGGTCAAAGCTGACTGCCATAATCCAGCCCATTGTATCATCACTTCCTTTGGCGATGATCCACTGTGTCCTTTACCCATAACAATGAGTTCTATCTATCTGGGAGAAAAGAACTGTCTTAGTCAGGGTTTCTATTGCTGTGAAGAGTCACCATGACCATGGCAACTCTTATAAAGGAAAACATTCAATTGGTGGCTTACAGTTCAGAGGTTTAGTCCATTATTGTCATGATGGGACATGGCATCAGCAGGCAGACATGGTGCTGGAGCAGGAGCTGAAAATTCTAACATCTTTGATCCACACGCAACAGAAAGTGAACTGAGACACTGGGCAGTATCTTGAGCATAGGAGGCCTCAGAGCCCGCCTCCACAGTGACACACTTCCTCAAACAAGGCTACACCTACTTCAACAAGGCCACACCTCCTAATAGTGCCACTCCCTATGAGCTTATGGTTGCTAATTACATTCAAACTGCAAGAGTATTTACCATAGAACTGTCAGATGTCATTTTTATGAACAAGTGTTTCTGGCCTGGTTACTGTTACTGTCTGAAGCCATGTGAAATGCGTTTTCATTCACTGAATTAAAAGCAGGCATTATCTGAATGGCCAGTGCACGCACGCCAATGTCCCAAAGCAAGTATGCCCACAGCAGCATGTTCTTCCTCCAGTTACCCTCCAGCTCCTGACGCCCAGGAGCCTGGGGCCGCAGCCAAGGCAGAGAAGTTAGCTTGGATGAATTCAGGTTACAGACAGCTGAGGACAGCCTTCAGCTCCAAAGAGAGAGATTCCTCGGGAGGCCGGTACAGTCGGGGTCTTCTTATAGTGGCTTTTGTTGTGTGTGTTTTGTTTTGAGATAGGGTCTCATCATGTAAGGAGGGAGGAGACATTCTCCTTCATGCTGAGGCTACGTGTGTGTGTGTGTGTGTGTGTGTGTGTGTGTGTGTGTGTGTGTGTGTGTGTGTGTCCCCAGATGCAGCCAGGTGGGTGACACTAGGAGGAATTTTCATTTGGCAGCCTGGTCCTTTACAAATGACCTCCTCCCTGAGATTTGCTTCTGGATCCACCGGCTGTAGCAGGCAGTGGCACTCGCTCTCTGTGCCTCATCAGTCTCCAAGTGACTTCTTCAGATGTGGCCATGCATACCCACAAGGCACACAACTGTGTCTGCTGCCTGTGTCCACGGAGAAACACTAAATGTGGATTTCTCTTCGGGAACGCAGTTCTGAGTGTCTCAGGAGACTGATCGTCCAGCGAGGGCACCCATGTGCCAGATGAGACTGGATGTCAGTGTGATGGTGTAGTCTCCTCCAGGACCACCATTTGTAGTTCAGCCCAGCAGCACGCTAAGGCAAAGAACAATTAATACCATTGCAACACATGGCTGGCTGTTTTATCATCGGACCATGTTATTCTTTTCAGATGCCAAGCTTTGTAGCAGGGCTCCCATTGAGCTAGTTGTTGGGTGAAGTGGGAGGTAAGGATGGTTCCACGTCTGCTAGCTCAGAGATCCTCAGTTTGTAGTGCCCCTTCATGTCTTAACGTTATTCACAGGGACCCCTAGGCTGAAAGGAGTACCTGGTAGTTTTATTTATTTTAAGTGGGATCAGGCAAATTAGATATGCCTAACATTTGAATAAGTATTTGAAAAGACAATGCATAGGTCATACAAAGATGTGTTTTTATCATGAGTATGATCACTAGGTACAAACGGACAAATCTCTCTTGCCTGCCTATTCTTGAATAACCACTCAGAGGCTTATATTAATTATAAAAGTTTGGCTAATGGCTCAGGCTTATTACTAGCTATTACAACTTAAATTAACCCATTTCTATTCATCTATGTATTGCCACATGGTTGTGGCATTACCAGTCTGCTGGCATGTTGCTCCTTGGGCAGCTGACTGCGTCTGCCTCAACTTTTTTTCCTCTCTTCAGTTTGGCTTTCCCACCTAGCTGTATTCTGTCTGGCTATAGGCCAGATCAGCTTTATTTATCAACCAACAAGATCACCACATATTCACAACATACAGAAAGACATCCTACAGCAACTAGGCATCTTTTAAAATGATTATTGTATGTCTGTGCATGATTGGGGCGACATGCATGTCACAGCTGTGCCAAGAAGGCCAGAAGACTACCTCCAGAGTGGCCTTTCTTCTTCCATCTTTACATGGGTTCCAGAGATTGACCTCAGGCCTCTGTCTCAAGTATCTTTACCCTGTGAGCCGTGTGTCTGGCCAACCAGCTGTCTTAATAGTCTTGTTCATGGTAGGTTAGTGTAGTTTCTGTGTAGCGTATGATCTAGTCAGTGGGTGTTGAAGCCTTTGACTCAGTAAACAGACCATGTAAGGTGAGTCCATGTAGGCGACAATGAGAATCTCGCTCCCTTTCCATATCCCTTCAGCCTTTTCCTGTTTCCCTACCCTGATTCCCCTGCAGTGACTAGAAAGTCTAGACTCTTACCATCTCCGTTTTCCTGATTCTCAGCTAACCCCCAGGGGAGGTGTGGCCCACCTCCTCCTGCTTAAATCCGGATGGTGCAGTAGTCTCCAGAAGGAACTGTTTTCAGCTTTACCTTAGTTTGTTTTAGACAAGCGAGTGAGCTTTGCATTACAGTGTTGCTGAGATTCTTACCTGTGGTGATAAAATACTCTGACAGAAGCGGAGTAAGTGGGAAGAGGTATTTCAGCTCACAGTTCCGGGCAGCAGCCCGTCACAGGGGAAGTGAGGCCAGAGGGGCTTGAAGCAGCTGCTCACGTGGCATCCTCAGTCAGAAAGCAGAGAGATGAAGGTTCGCTACTGTTTGGTTCCTTTTCCCCGTTTATTCAGTCTGAGACTGCTAGCCAGGGAATGGCGCCGCCCCCAGGGGGTGGGTCTTCCCATCTCAACTGACAGAGTTAAGATAACCCGCTACAGGCAAGCCCAGAGGCCTGCCTCCCAGGCTGTTCTGGGTTCAGCGGAGTTGACAGCACCGTCATGGGCATCAGCCAGATTCTGACAGACCTGCCATTTCCTGGACAAGTGGAAATAGACCTAGTTACCTGCGTGTCTGGTTCAAATTCTAAACCATGAGATGGGACTTGAGAGTAGACTGTAGAGGAATACACCTGTCATTGTGGAACAGGTCTTTCAGGGCTTATCCTTGGGGAACTAGACTTCAACATTAAGTCAGTGAATCAGATACACAGAGACCAAGGCATTCACACCTCCATAGGCACCTGGGCAGCCCTCCATGGCTCACACAGACACATGTCCATGGAGCACCTGGGCAGCCCTCCATGGCTCACACAGACACATGTCCATGGAGCACCTGGGCAGCCCTCCATGGCTCACACAGACACATGTCCATGGAGCACCTGGGCAGCCCTCCATGTCCTACACTGAAATCTCCCTATTTTCTCACCGACCTACAGCTCTTAGGCAGACCGGCAGAGCCCTGTTCTGTCTTGTCTCGAGGTGAGGGGGAGCAGGGGAACATTGGTGAGAACTTCCTGTGGCATTACCAGCGCAAGTGTCTAGAGCCATTAGAAACACTGACTGTCAAATGCCATGTCCTGTTCTCCCGGGATTGTAGATTGTTTTCACATACCGAAATTGTTTGGGAAGATACCAACTATCTTTTGATGTGACTATGAGGAGAATCTTTGCTCATATGTTAAACGATCTTGAGAATATGATTGTGATCCCTTTTCTCCAAAGGGTAGGAATAGTCAGCTAGAAGACTGAGTGATGCTTGTTATCTGCAGAGAATTGAGTTAGACAAGTACATTTCTCTCTAACTTTTGTAACTAGCCATAGATATAGCCTAGAAAGTAAAGTGTTAGCCATGTAAGGGCCCGCCACAGTCATTATATGTAATTTCTGATAAAATTGAACACCTCAGAAGGTATGCATTTTGTCAAAGTTCATACCATTGGTTCATGGCTCTTCTGTGAATACAAAACTATGTTCCTGGAATTGCGCATCCCACTAAAGCATGGGTCTGATAAACTAGGACTTTGCAGACTAGATTGCCAGTAGCCATAGACCATTTGAAACTTACTAGGGTAGGTTATGTCTAAAATTGTATCTTTGTGTTTCAGGTCTAAAAACTGAAAATTGCATCGCAAACCCAGGTAAGACGTGTTTCAATGATCATCTCTGTCATGGGAATTTTATTAGTTTTTTTTTTCTCATGAGTATGGGTCAAAGGCCACTATTGCCGCTCCCTCCCCACCCTCCTCCCCCTCCCTCTCCCTTCCCCCCACCCCTACCCTACACTGTTATACTGTCATACTGCCGTCGTCGTCATATCTAAGGCTAAAGTTTGCTTTTGTTGGAGGCTCTGAGTCCATTTGCTGTCCACTCAGAAACCAACACTCAGGAATTAAGAGTCATTAGAAAGAAAACCAGGTTATACAAAAAGGTCAGCACCCTGAGAAGGTGGGGAGCAAGGTTGTTTGGGGGGCCGTCTCAGGTACACAAAGAGACTTCACCGGAAGGGGAGGCGCAGGGGATAGGCAGGCCAAGGGATGAGTGAGTCATACACAGGCCTGACAGCCATTGCGTCTCACAGTGTGCCTTTCCCGTTTCTGCCGGGGTGTCCTTGGCATAAACACAGACTTTCCGTCTCCTAGGCTAGTGCCTGTGACCATTTTACCAACACATCATTTCTCTGAACATTAAACATGATCCTACTTTTTTTTATTTAAATTTTATTTTACAATACCATTCAGTTCTACATATCAGCCATGGGTTCCCCT